GGCCTCCTAACACGCTGACGGGGACTGAGAAAACACCAGCTTTGGCAATAGCAAATCAAATGAGCAGCGTGTGGGGGCTGGCCCTCCACGCACCTGAGCCAGTGCTGGGGTCCTCCCTCCGGGGCTCAGAGAGTAGCACAGGTACACTTGAGTCCCACAGCAGCCTGGTCCTGATTCAGCTCAGCCAGGAGCCCCCAAGGCACCGCTAAGCCACGGGAGCACCTGTTTCCAGCAGGGAACAAGCTGTGGTGCCTGAGCTTCAATGTGCTCCCCACGACAGTGACCTGTGCAGGCTGCTGTCTGTCATCGCTGCTGATACACACCTCGCCACCAGCACTTGGGGGACAGATGCAGCACTGCGAGCTCGGTGCCCACGTTTCTGCCCTGGCGGGAGGGAGGGAAAGCCAGTCTGCACAGGCCTTTCAGGCAGCTAGTGCCAGCCTTTTTTGCCAACTAAACCAAAACCATGGTCAGCATGGCGCAGAAAACACCTCGCCCAGCAAAACAAATTCAGTGTTGGCATCCAAGTGATTTCAAATTACAACTCTCCCAATGCAATTAAGCACTTCGGAGATTTTTAAAAAGGGGTGACCGCCAGCTAAATCAGGTCAAGCCTTCTGATTGTCCTGCTTGTCCTGCCCGAGTGAGCAAGCGCCAGGCACCTCCTCTGTGCTCGGCACTGGCTTGCCCCCTCGTCTTCTCTTCTCCCCACGACAGCTGGGTCAGGGCTGAAAGCAGGCAGGGCTGGCAGCCGGGCCTCCCGCGAGAGGTCATCAGTGCAAAGCACTCAGGCTCTCCAGGGCCCCAAAACCTTGGCCTGAGGCTACGTGGCCAATGACATGAGAGGGCCTGCCTAGAAAGGTGACGAGGATCCCACCTGCAGGGGAAGGCAAACCAGCTCAGCACTGGCACTGGCGGGGCTGCCCGTGGCTGGGAGAGAGGCTGTCAGGTGGCTGGGCTGTTCCTGGAGGATGGGGGGGACCACCCGCTTGGCACAGGCCACTTGCAGTGCGCCTCAACTGGCATCATCCACTCCTGGACCTGGAAGATGGACAGGACACTGGGACACTGAGACATCAGCTGAGGCAGGACACATTGGTCCGTGAGCCCTGCCCCCACCGGGCAGCACCAGGCTGCAGCAAGACCTACTTTGTGACTTTCTGGGACTAGCAGCAGCGCCCCCACCCTTAGTCCTCTTTAGGATTCACACCGCTCTGCAAGGGCCCAGCAAGTGCTCTGAGCCGAGGAAAGGAATACACGTCTCCGAGAAGGAGAAAGACCCCCATGCTGGACGCAGGCCCCAGCACCATCTCGGGAAACTCAGGGAACTCAGGTTCCAGCCCTGCAACAACAGCTCAGAGGCAGTGGCACTGAGGTGCTAAGATCCTGTGTCCCCAAAGTCAGGAGTTGTTGACAGGGAGGCATCAGTGTTGTTAAAGGGGGTGAAAACCAAGCTTATTCCAGGTACCCGATGGAGACACAGTAGAAACAGGAAGATCCGGGAAAGGCAAAGAGGCTGCCTCCCTGGGTCTGAGTTGGCTGTGTTTTCTCAATGTGGTCGCCTGTGGCCAGCTCAAAGGTGGGACCCCTGAGCCACATGAAACGGTGTTGGTCCAGCAACCGGGGTAGCCACGAAGGCCGAGGAAGTCACGAAAGCTCAACACCAAAAGAAGGAGGGGACACGGTTGTGCTGACTCAGTCGAAGGTGGGAGAGCAAGGGGTGGCCACGGCACCACGCCAGGCACCCCCCATTGCTGTACTGTGACCTCGCCACCCCCCAGAGGAGGGTCTTGCAGAAAGTCAGGCCAGTGACCCAGATCGGCACCCCCAGAGTAGTGGGGCCAGCTATGGCAGGTGGTGGAGGTTCCCAGAACTGACAGGGAACCCTCAACCCTATCTGACAGGACAGGGGTCTGTGGGGGGACCAGGGCTGGCCAAAGATGGCCACGGGAACACAGGACATGTGGGCAAGGAGGAGGGCGGTGGGATTCTGGTGTTTCACTTCCTTCCTCGTTACCGTAATGTGTTCTGCTGCCAAGAATAAAAGTTCATTCAAGAGAAGAATGACAGGGAAGTATTCTAAAATGGCTTCCCCCACAAAAAAACAGCACAGGTTCTAGCTTTGCACATCTGGAGAATTCAGAAGGTGAAACACCTCACTGCCCTTCGACATAAGATAAATAAATACTACCTTCTCTACGGAGCTCTTTCAACACTGATTTATCAAAGGAAATCTGACGTCCTCTAAGCCAGGCTTACTAGGTCCACATGAAGGCATTTTCCCCAACTGGCAGGGAACCCTGAAAAACACAAGTGAGCTCATCGCCTCACAGTTCTCCAAGGAGGCCCCCCAGCCTGCAGAGGGCAGGGAGGGAGACAGGGCCCAGGCACCTAGGCAGATGGCAGGTGCTGTGGGCACAGGGGAAGAGAGGGATGGAGGCCAAGAGCAACATGAAGAAGGGCTCCTGGCTGCAGGCAACATCCCCCTAGACCTTCCCTTCACTGCGTAAAGCGTGACTCCCAGGAACCCTCCCCATGCCGGAATGCTGGGGGTCAAGGTGCAGGATGGCATCTCCACATAGTGGACTAAGAACCCCTCCCAGGCACAAAGGCAATTCACCTAGAGAAGGAGCGCCCACCTGTGGCCCTTCCCTGGCAGGGTCACCCCTCCACTCAGTGAAATATGACCCCACATCCCACCCAGAAGCATACTCCCTCGCAGAGTCCAACGCCCCTCCCACAGCCCTGATCTCCCTGTGGCCCTACACCGCACCCTCTTCCGCTCCACACACCCAGGACATCACGCAGGCAGCCCCATTGCCAGTCCCTCCAATAGCGCTGCACAAAGTCAGCCTGCACCATTCTACACACAGGCAGGGGCCCCCCTCCCCGATCCCACAATGTCCTGCCATCTCCTCACTGGTGACCTTAGGGGTGGTTCCATGTTCCCTCAGTCCTCACAGTTTGTGATGCAGAGGCTTCCAGCACAGCCCCAGCACACAGCAGGTTCTCGGCAAAGAGGGCTCTTCTAAGCAGGTCAGACTCCCTCTTGTGGAAAACCCTCTCAGATCAGAACAGGCAGAGGGAGCTAATGCCAAATGACACACATCGACCAGGGACAAATGTTGGAGGAGGTGGCTACTTGTTGGGGGAGGTGAGGGTCAGCTTCCCCACCAGTTTGGGGCACCAGTAACATCCCGGCAAGGAACTGCAACACACAGTCCAGAAGCACCTCTAAGTTGCTGTTCCCATCTAGAGACAAGGAGCAAGAGACCCCTGGACAGAGGCCAGGCTCCACCCCATGCCCGCAGGGGACAGACCCAGAGACAGAACCGCTTGCCTTTCCTTAAAGGGAATGGGAGCTGACAAGCTCCAAGAGTCACATGCGCCTGCAATGCCTCAGCCAGATCAGCAGGCTCCAGCTGCCGAGGTCTAACTCAAATCCAGCCTGCTGCAGCACCCCTCCCCCATCCGCCACCCTGCAGAGGTAACTCTTGGAGGCAGCACCCAAGGCTGCTCGGCATGCCCTGCCAGGTCGGTGGGCAACAGCAGTTAGACTGCTCACCAGAATCAAGAGTCATCTCCCCTTTCAAGTCCTCTCTCCTCTCTGCCTTCCCATGCAGCAGGAATGCCCAGAACACCCCAGGACCCCCAGATCACAGCCTCCTGCCCCACCCACCGCCTCTCCTGTACCATTGGAACCTGCAGGACCATGAGGGAGGGGTGCTGTTCAGTCCCTCCTAAGGAACTCACACAATGCCACTGTCCCGTCATGAAAAGCCACATCTCTGAGGCAGAACCAAGGGGTGGTAGAGAGGCAGGTCTCTGGAGCTCTTTGTCTTGGGAGAAAGGCTGACGATAGGTCGACACCACCGAATTAGCCAGGCTTGCACACACATGCAGGCCATCCTGTAGGGGCTGAAGGATATAGCAACCGAATCCCATTTCTGAGCCAGAAATGTAAGCGTCCTGTAGTGTGGCCGGCAGCCCCAGAGCACAGCTTGCCCCAGCTAGCCCCAGCCCTGTGTCAGGCCTGGACTGGACGGCCAGCTAACTTTACAGGCCAACGGAGTACACTTACACCTCCGATTGGCACTCTCCCAGACTGGCTCGCAACTGACAGCTGCCCCTCTCCAAGGAGGGAGGCCTGTATAAACACCCCCTGGACAGGCACGGCCTCTGTTTCCAAGGCTGGCCCAGGACAGGTAGGGTGGCTGTTTACATAATCTTCCAGAGCTGGGGCTGACACCAGGGTGATGGCAGGATTATGAAAAACGCATGCCTAGAGCCTCTGCATCCAAGAAAACCCCCACCCGCATTCTGCATGACTCGGTTTTAAGACCTCTCACACGTCCATTTTGTGAACAAATGGAGCTCTCAGAGCAGCAGAGGCGACTAACCACACTTCCAGGCCTTGCCCAGCCGGCCGCAGAGCCCTACCAGACACCACCTCTGGGTCACAGACCCCTGGGTCAGAAGAATTCTCTGCAGGTATCCCTGCTGGAGCACCCACAGCTTGGGGGACACAGGAAAGTACTAATTTTTGGGCAGCTCAGAGCCTCCAAACTGCCCTGTGAGCGCACACATCAGGCCTTGAAGCCGCCACGCTGTTTTGCAAAGACACAACAGTCCAGACCACCTGGGTCATTAAAGTGGGTCATCAGGACTGGAGAAGCCGCAGCCTAAGAGACACAGCGTCCAAGATCCACTCTCCAGGGCCTCCCCTACGCCCAGGGCGCGCACACTTAGACGAAACGCAACCAGAGGCCTGCCCTCGCCACGAGCTGACTCACAAACGTGCGCGCGGACAAAGCCGGGCCCCACACGCCGTCCGCACACCTGGCACACATCCTGCCGGCCACCCACGCAGAGGGTGACACACACAGCGCCCTGCCGCCCCCAGGGCTTCTTAAGGCACAGCGCAGGAGCAAGGACGGGCCCAAGGACGCGACCGCGGACAGACCCTGCGGAAAGCCCTCTGCGGGCTGGCGCACCCTCACCTGCAGCTCACACCAGGCCACCTCCACCCAGGTCTCCGTGTCCAGCCCCTTGTAGACGGTCTTGAAGGAACCGCGGCCCAGCTCGATGTCGAACTTGAGGAAGCGGCCGTCCAGAGAAGTGGCCACTGCCTTGAGATCGTCCTCATCGTCCTCCTCCTCTTCGGGCTCGTCCCGGCGTGTGCGCCCGGGCTCAGGCTTTGCCTCGGTCGCCCCCTCATCTTCCTTCCTCACTGTCGCCGCCGCCTCCTCCCTGGGGCCGCCGTCGGGGGCAGGCGCGGTTTCGGCAGCAGCTGCGGTGGGGTCCGGGACGGGCTCCTGCTTGACCAAGAGCTCGGGGCCGGCGTCCGCCGGGGCTCCGGGGGCTCCAGGTGGCGCGGCCGGCGCTGCGGGCGCGGGGGCGGCGGGGCGTCCACGGGCGCGCTCCGCGATGAGGCGGCGCGTCTTGCAGAGCAGAAGTACCCGGCGCTGCAGGGGCTGCGGGGGTTGCGGGCCCGGCGCCTCGGCCGCCTCCAAGCCGGGCGGCTCCTCCTGGTCCGACTCTACCACGCTGCGCCGCAGGAAGCGCTGGGGCCCCGGCCGCGCCGCCTTAGCCCGCGGCTCCGCCATGCCCGCGGGCCCTGCGCCGCGCCCGGGCTCCATCAGCGCGCCGGGGGCGTCTCGGCGGCCGCCATCGCCGTCCATCTCTGTGGGCCAAGGACACACAGGCTCGCGTGAGCGCCGGCCCTGCCGCACCTGCCCAGGCCGCGGGATGAGACAGCGCCGCCCCGGGCCCGCGCCCTTCCCAGCCCCGGCCGCTGAGAGAGCCTGCGGGGCTGTCTCTGGGGGCCCTGGGAAACAGGGGCTGCAGACGGGACCAGAGGATCGGGTTGGGGAGGAGGGGTCCGTGCCCCGCTCAGCCCCCGGCGGCTGCGGACAGGGACGGGCCTGTGCTGTTTCTGGAACCCGGGGAGGGAGGATCTGCTAGGGTGTCCCTGAGGGCCCCGGCGGGTCTGCAGAAGAAACCTGGAGGCCGGCAGAGGGATCTCGCGCCCTGCCCAGCCCCGGCCCGGGAGGGTCCTGCTGGGCTGTCCCGGAGGCAGCTGTAAAGGGGATAAGGAGGCCCGGGAGTGGGAGGAAGGCACCGGCCGGGCGGCGGCTCCACAAAGGACGCGGGCCCGGGGCGCGGGAGGGGCGCGCGGGGAGGGGGCTGCAGCGCCGCGGCGCGCACACAAAGGCGGCGGGCGGCGGTGGAGGGGCTCTGCACTCACAGGGCGAGCGGACGCCGTCCATGCCCGCGGCCGGGCGGCCGGGGCGGGCGAGGCAGGCACAATCACGCTTCGAGGCCGGGGTCCGAGTTCCGGGCGAGATCCGCGCTGTGGTGGGGGCCGCGGCGACGCTCCAGCTCCTGCGCGCTGCTTTCTCAGGTCGGGCCACTGCGGGGCCGCGCTCCCGCGTGCTCCGGCCGGCTTCGCGCGGCTCCGCTCCCGCACCGGCTCCGACCCGGCGCGCGGGGAAGGCGGGGCTCCGCTCGCCCCGCCCCGGGCCAGCGCAGGGGGCTGGGCCTGGCACGCCCACCTGGCTGCGGACTGGCTGGCGGGAGCGCGCGGCCACCTGCGGGCCGGCTACCTGGGCTCCCACCCGCGCCTCTGTGCTCGAGGCAGCGCTCCTGGCCTTTGAAGCTCTTTGGAACGCTCCTCAGGGCTGTCGATTGCAGAGGACCCCGTTTGTTCCTGAGAGGAGGCAGCAGGCTCAACGCCTCAGCACGCCGCAGCCCGGCGCGCCAGACCTCAAAGCCCTGAGCCAGGACAGAAGGCAGGCTGGGAAGAAAAGGACCAGGGGTACCGCCATCCTCGGGAGCCCGGCCTGGGGCTAAGCCTGGTAGGGGTCAGCGTGTCCTTTCCTGCCCTCACTTCACCACCGGGAACCATGAGGACCTCATCATCACCCAGGGACTCGCTGGTGATCATTTTGCCCATTTAACAGTACAGCAAACTGAGGCCCCAAAGGCAGAAGTTATATGCCCTAAATCCCAGAACTTCCACTACAGAGGCTGAGCTGGAATGCTTTGGATGGGATATGGAGAGGCTTTCAGAAGCCCCTTGACCCAAAGGGTTCTTCCTTCCCACCTCTTCCAGATGCCACCTGTCCTGAGAAGTCTTCTATGATCTCTCTCTCCTCCTTCCTCCTCTAGACTCCCATGGACAAGCTCTCTCTTGGGCGTCTCTGGGCCTACTGCCGCAGGTGGGCTGTGTCAGTAACTGTACTGCTAAGTTCTGAGACTTACTCTAGGCAGCGCCCTGAGCTAACACTCACCCTCACCCTAGCCTCCATCACCCTAGGTGGGGGAACTGAGGCACAAGGGAGATACCAGGGTATTCTCATCTCAGTCCCCCCATCAGATACACACACACTTCCAGAGATGAAAAGGCACTCCTGGGCTGTTGGCCCTGGAGCCCCTGGCACAAGGTAAGTCATGTGACATAAAAGCCAACAGAGGCAATACTTTACCTTCACAATGCTGAGAAGAATATGCCAAGCCGACTGTTACCCATAGAAGCAGGACTTCCTGGGGCCCCGCTGGGCACTGGCACTGGCTGAAACTAACTTGTGAGGAGCAACAGTGCACATCTCTTCCCAGCTCTGGGTTCAGCAATGCCACCCTATAGCCTGAAATTAGCAATGCTGGGAGTATTTACGCTATGGAAATTGGTAGACACCTCAAATCAGGACTTTTTGCCCCAGAGAGCCAGTAGTTAAACAGTATGCTAGGCTTGGGACTACGCATTTGGCACTTGCCTATTATTTATATAATCTAATCCTCACATCTACCTTGTGAGACAGCCGTTCAGTCCAGGGCTCAAGTCCGCTGGCATGAGCCCAGAGCCCACTTGAGGAGGAGGCCAAACAGGAGACATCAGCTTCTCAGGACTGAGACGCCCTGAGGGACAGGGGTCTAAGTTGCACCTCCTGGGGCAGGAGTCTTCCAGGTAGAGGTTGGAAGTGGAGAAGGATCTTTTCTGTCTTCTCTTGGAGGCTAAAGACACCCAGCCTTGCTCCTAACCAGCTGAGTGACCTTGGGCAAGTCCTGGCCCTCCCTGAGCCTCAGTATGCTGCTCTGCAGAGCAGGCTGATCATCCTGGCTTGCCCACCTTAAGAGGCTAACTATTCCCTGGGGATTCAGTCAATCTAGGAAGGGCACCAAGTCCACAGACCTGTTCATTATGTGTGTATTCAAGCCAATCCAAGGGAAAACCAGGATGGAACGGAGCTAAGCACACTCTGAGACCAGCACACACCTATCTGGCCTCCTCCTGCTCCCAACAGGCCACACTGGCAGTGTGTGGGCAAAATACCTGCTGGCATAGAAGGTTCATCAGCACCCATGGCTGCGCCCACCCACACTTGTAGATATGAGTGGGAAAAGATGGCTATACCCACAAATCAGCAGGGAGCAGCCCAGGCTGTGGGGAGTGGGGGACAGCCTGTCCCTGAGAGAATACTATGTACTTTCTGAGCCCTTAGGGGTGATTTCATGCAGCTCTGCTTATGAGGCCTCTCCATGGTGGAGAGCTCATTCTCTCTGCCAACCCATGACCATTAGAGTGCACAGCTGAGTCAGTAGTGGACAGGTCACAATTTCCTTTGCAAGGAATCTCAGGCTGGGCTCAGGAGCGAGCTCCTGGCATCCTGGCAGATGGAGCCTCAGGGATCCGTGGACAGACCTTGGAAATGAGGACTTTATGGCACTGGCTGTGTGCCGTTTGGCAGGTGACTGGATATCTCTGAGCTTCTATCTCCCTGCTGCTAAGACAGGGTGTGTAAGTACAGTGGTCTGCTTTGCTGGGTGTCCTGAGGCTGTATGACCCAGGGTCATGATATCAGCATTTGTCTTTTTGGGGTCTTTTTTCTTTTCAGATGGAGTTTCGCTTTGTTGCCCAGGCTGGAGTGCAGTGGTGGGATCTCAGCTTAGCTCACTGCAACCTCTGCCTCCTGGGTTCAAGCAATTCTTTTGCCTCAGCCTCCTGAGTAGCTGGAATTGCAGGCGCCCACCACCAGGCCCAGCTAACTTCGTATTTTTAGTAGAGACGAGATTTCACCATGTTGGCCAGGCTGGTCTTGGACTCCTGACCTCAAGTGATCTGCCCACCTTGGCCTCCCAAAGTGCTGGGATTTGTCTTCGATTTTTACAACAGATGAGTACATTGAGGCCTCTGCCAGCGACTTTGCAACTTTAAGTAACTTTCTGAAGGCCTCAGAGTGGAGAGGGTAACCTCTACCCACAGCTATCACCTCAGCTTCTGCAGTGCCAGGGAGCCCCCTTGGTGAGACAAGTTTCTCTCAAGTCCAGGTTATGCTCCAGACTGATCCAGCCAGTGGGCACGTGTAGGCACACACCTGCTCCACACAGATGCAGTTTCAGGAGCTGGGCCCCAGCAAGCAACAGGACCATGGTGTCAGTTTGCTCATCTGTGAGATGGGCATAATGGTCATGCCCAACAGTCTTGGTACACAGGAGGCATTTAACAAATGCTCAGGGAGGAAGGGAGACAGGGCCAGCCCCACTCCCTCTGCTCACCTCAGGGCCCATCGAGGGTCACTGAGTGAAAGGAAGAGCACGGTCTGGCCGTGCCCAGTGGAAGCTCCTCCGCATGTGCTCCCTGGGGCAGACCTGCCTCTCAGTGGGGTCAGGCAATCTATCTAGTGCTCAGGTCCAGTGTAGCCAGGACGCTTGCCCGAGTGCCCCCTGGGTCACACCATGCGGAGGGTACCCTGGTGGGGGCATTGGATGGGGAGGACAGTGCTGGAAGAGCAGAGCCCAGGGAACCCTGCAGCCAGGCAAAGTGGCTCATGCCTGTAATTCTAGCACTTTCAGAGGCCAAGATGGGCAGATCATTTTAGCTCATGAGTTTGAGACCAGCCTGGCCAAGATGGTGAAATCCCGTCTCTACTAAAAATACAAAAATTAGCCAGGTGTGGTGGAGCACACCTGTAATCCCAGTTACTCAGGAGGCTGAGGCAGAAGAATCACTTGAACACAGGAGGTGGAGGTTGCAGTGAGCTGAAATGGCGCCATCGCACTCCAGCCTGAGCAGCAGAGCAAGACTCTGTCTCAAACAAATAAAATAAAGAATCCGGTTCCTCTGTTCTTCAAGGTACAGGGCCCAGCAGGGCATCAAGGGGTTCAAGGTTGACTGACAGGTCCACAGAGGGAGGGGCTCCACACCCCGAGGAGGAAATAACCAACACAGTCCTGCAGCCCCTGGTGAGCGGCCACCTGAGGCACCAGGGCCCACCCCCAGCCTGTCTGATGGTGCAGGACTGGGTGGCGCCAGTCCCTCAGAGATAGGGGACAGAGCCCTGTGACAAGCTAAGGGGCCTAGCTGGCCAACGACTGACATACCGTGATGCTGAGTTGATACCGGCCCATTCGTGGTGGAAAACCAGCAGCATCCTCCAGCGTGACGTATTCCCAGGGGCCATGACAAATCATCCTGCACGGCTGGCGAGACTTGGAAATGAGGCTGTGTTAGCAGGGACTTGAGGCTGACATTTTCAATGAAATATCCAAGGTTGGATTCGTTGGGGACCAGAATCGGCCAGGGTGACACTTGCTTTCAGCGTATGTCCAGAGCAGAGCGTGTCACATGAAGGGCAAGCCAGGGAAGTGTCGGGATTTTGCTTCTTCAGGGTATGACCTTCCC